GTCCACTCTGCTAATTACATCTAAATATTTTGTGTTTTGCAGATGTATATCGAGTGCACAGTCAATCTGTGCATCACCACTTTGCCTTCCCAGAATTGCCCCGATCTGTGTTCCAGATCTTTCAAGAGCGGCAATATGGTTAACAGTGTGTTTACCAAATCTTACGTTGTCCGATCAGACCCCGTTAGCCTCGTGTACACCACTCGTGCACCATCTGCTTCCAACACTACATCGATCTCCACCACTCCACCAGCTACTACTACCACTACTACAAGTACTTCAACTCCTGCACAAACCACAGCTTCACATGGTAAAGCTTTATCTTCTATACAAGCCTCCAGTTCTGGTTTTTTTTAGGTAGTAATGATTAATGAAATTAGTTTTGGTGCATAACATAGTGTACATCTGCAAGCAAAACCATTTCCTCTATCTTTGAAGTATTCTGTGATGGTCATTATATTGTGGGGAGTAATAATGAGCGCTGTCTTATTTCACGCTGTTTAATTTTATTAACTGTGAATCTGGTTAGAGAAATGCACGAACTAAACAAACCACCAGCGGGTTAAAAAAAAGGGCAAGTTAGAAATTAAAAACAGCTTTCAGGGTCTAGTTACAATATTTTCATAATTCACAAGAACAATTGTATTTCCATAATTTAGGCATCAAGCCATATTATTCTTTTTTTTTATTTTAATGTCAAATAAAATAAAATGTATGAATTTAAAAACTAAAAGTAACTTCTATTCTCTCCTCTTGCAGCTCCAGGGCAGAGCTCATTCGTGGCAGCAGGACTGATTTTAACAACTCTCAGAATAACTCTTCAGAACTTCTTTCTTTACTGAAACATGCTGCTGCTCTGTGATCTGTCACAATATGAAACCCTGGGTTTGAAGATTTAATCCCAAATGTGATTTCCACTGTGTAGTCTGAATTTTCTCCCAGGAATCAAATAAAAGCTCCAGCATAATACATTACAACGTATGAAAAAATGCTGATCTGCATCAAATTTGATTAAAGTTAGTTTAAATTTTTTTTTCCTTCCATACCTGTTATTGTTCTTCTCTTTCCCCTCACTACTGACAGCTATAATCATTATTTGATCATTAATAAATCTTTATAATTCTGCACAACTTTGTATTTGTACTTAATACCCAGGGATTCCATTGCTCAGCATATGCCATTTCATTTGCACATAACATTGGACGGAAGGCAAAATAATGAAATTATGAAAGTAGCTCTAAAAAAGTAGAGCTCCATATAAATCAAAGAGTGTGAGGATGCAAGTGGAAAACCAAAGTTATAAGTATATTGCAGGTCTTGCATATTTTTCAGATGTATTCCACATGATACACTTTGGAAACCCATTTTTTTCCGTATGAAAGAAACTAAAGATTAATCAAAATTATGAGATTTAACAGTAAAAAATTATGAGACTGTACATTAGAAAATTATTAGAGAAAGTATGTTGACTTAGTGAGAAGTGACGTTGAATTAGTAGTTTTTTTAAGCTACTAAGTCATTATTTGGAGTTAGTGAGTCATTATTTTAGGATACTACATTATTTTGAGTAAGTCATTATTTCAGTTAGTATGTCACTGAGGCACTAACTCAATAAGTCGTTTTGAGAGAAGACCTTATTTCAACTTAGTAAGTCATTCATTTCAGTTCACGGAAACCAAGTCCTTATTTTGAGAAATAGTAACTTATTGAAATTCAGTTGTTACAGCAGCAGCAGGTAAAAATGACTTATAGAATAACACTTTTCTTTTTTAAAGGCAATACAATTAAAATAAAAACTAATTGAAAAGTATACCTTATATACACCTTTTTTTCTGTTGTGGTTTGTACCCACTGTACTTTACTTTACATGGACAATTGCAGGAGCGAGTAGAACAACTGTACATAAATATAAGTACATAAATATAAGTACATGTTGTGATGTGCACAAAGTTATTCTCCTGCAAATAGTATGAGTAGAGTGCAGTATTTTATTTTAGTTGTCGTCTGACAGCAGAGGGAGTGAACGACCTGCAGAGCCGCTGCTTGTCGTCCTGTATAAACTACATGTATGTTCAAATATCTCCAAACACATTTTTATTATTATTCGATATTTTATTATTATTGATAAGAGTCCCGTTCCCCTGATTTCTGCGCATGCGCGCAGCTGAGCCTCCGCTGTATTTGTTTTCATTCTGCGGTTCTGACCAATCGCCGTTGAGTCTGGGAGGACAGGGGCCCGCCCCCGCCCCGGCAGACACGCCTCTGTGTTCACCGCTTCTTACAGACACTGTTGTTAGCGACGTAGCCGCCGCGGTCAACCTCATCTCTGACATTTCCCCCGCGACCACTGCCCAGAAGTTCACGTTCCTCCGGTACCGGACGCGTTAATGCACGAGTAGCGGCTCGGCGCCCGGGCTCCGTTCCCTCGTCGCCGGTGGCAGTCCCGAGAGGTGAGTTGAAGCGGTGCTAGCTCGTTAGCCGATGGGAGGAGGTGGGGGGTTTGGTTGTTGTGCTAACGTAGCATTTCTGCGAGCTGCTCCATAACCTTGCCGAACAAACCGGACGGTGAGCGGGTGGTTTTCCGTGGCTGCTCCGCGGCGGAGCGTGCTTTCACTCCCCCCGACCCCTCGGCGCGAGTGTTTTCAGCGGCGGCTGCGTTAGCTCGCAGGTTCGCTAACTTCCAGTCTCAGCTAGCGAGCTAAATAGCCACGACCACGAATTAGCTGACATGCTAACGCTGAGCACACTGACCTGGCATCATGCATTTTTTTTTTTTAATTTAATTCCCTCGCTCTCTCCGCGGTGTGTTCCTCCGCCTGGCTCGGGGGCTGTTCGCGGTGGAAGCCGACGGACGGAGGAGCCGTGTGTGTGACGGTCTTTTCAGTTCAACTTCCCGCATAACTTGACGTTAATGCGACGTTACCGTTGAACAGAGGCTAGTGCTAGCTTGCTGGCTAGCTAGCGTTCTTCCTGACCTAACCGTCAGGCACCGCTAAAATCGATCGGACTTTATAACTTTAATAATTCTGCTCTCTTGATTTAACGATGGCGCATTTTGTGTAGAGCAAAACAAAAAGCACCGGTTGTGTTATCGGCCGCGATCGGGATCGTTTTCTCGCCTTGAACGTCAGTTAGCCAACACGCTCGGCTCGGTCCCGGTCAGAGAGGGGACTGTCAGCGGCCACCCTCCAGACACAAACCCGCCTTTACTGACCCCGTCTACCGACCATTTAGTCTGGGGGGGGTGGGGGGTGTCGTTTGCCTGCCTCATAGCTTCCGAGCCAGCGCGAAAGCCGGCGTCCGCCATCGGGGCAAGCGAAAGCCGAGAACGGATCGCGTTAAGCTCGGTGTTTGGTTAGAGAGGGGGAGGGGATGAGGCAGGGCTACAGCGAGAGACAGCGCCTACACGCCCGGAGAACAAGTGTTGGCTGGCGGGTACGTGTTGAGCCGCAGTCGACACACCTCGCCGGATTATTACTGTCGGCAGTGTTTACTTCGCGTTTCGTCGAACGTGGATGTGCGACAGACGCGGTCTCTGCCCCGGAGGACCGTGCGCTCGGCCACCGTGTTCTCCGGTGGAGCTGGTGCGGGGCAGCGAGGCACAATGTCCGCCCGCAGCCGAACAAATGGAATGACGTTCACCCAGGGACCGTCCGCAAGTTACCTCTCCCCGTCTGCGTGTGCGGCTGTGTGTCCAATGTTAACTGGACCTCACGGGAAACAGATTTAAAATAAAAATAAACAGCCTTCAGTGCAAACTTTCAGTTTCTAAAAGGCAATTTAACATAGAAGGCGAAGACCATGAAGATTATTCAGAAACCCGACAGTGAGCAGCACTGTGAGCAGAATGTGGAGATTAAATACTCCTTCAATAACTGGAGGAAATCATCCATGTGTGCGGCCATCTGCCTGCACCGGTGTGAGAGGGAGAGAAACCAGGAACCAACCAGTGGTTATCATGAAAACACTGATAATTATGGATCTAAAGCTACAATAATAGGAGCAACAGTTCATATAACAACAATAATGGTTATCGTTGTTGCCTGAATCCTGCAGAGAGAAAGATACAGATATATATTTATATTTATATATAAATATGTATATTGGCTCTTCATAGGTGTCTTGATTCATGGTATCAGTAAATCTGCATCTGTTGTTTGTGCTTGTGTGCACGTACCTTCACTAAGAGGTGTATTCATTCTGTATTCCCAAAAAGGAAAAATTAGCGGTCGGATTATAGCGTGAGACGCATTCAGGAACCGAGTTAAGACATCTAGCTAATGATATGTGTATCAAACATTATGATTACATTATTTATCTGCCGAGTAAAAATGAATCCCTGACAACTTCAGAGCGGCTGAGCTTACTACTTGGATGACGGTCCCTAACCGTCCTGGGCTCTGCTCAACAATGGCACATGTCTATTTAAGGACAGTTGTAGAGAAGCACTTTGCTGGACACGTTTAGTTTTAATACAACAAGGTAGTTTTGGCTCCTGACATTCCCCAATGTTTTTTTATTTAAATTAACTTTGTGTTTGTTATATGTATTGTAATTTGAAAACCTGATGCATTTCTTTGGGGATATATGGGGAAATTGTCACACCAGTGTTAGTTTTCTCAAAATGGTGTCAAACACCAATATTCCCGTTTCAAGTTCCCACGAGCCACACTTAAAAAGAGAGAGGGGCTTGGTCTTACATTCAGGGAATAATTGTGCAAAAAATCACTTCTACAACAGATGTTTTCTCGTTGACTGTTAAGTTTTATTGGAGTGCATTATACTGAAACATCTCCCGAGTCTACACAACAACCTCATGTGACGCACTTCACACATTTAGGATGTATTGTTGAGCTGTTGGGGGCAATGACAGCGTAAGGGTGTTTTATTTTACTATTGTCGCAGTGTATACTCACCATTATTTAAATGAACTGCACTGCCATTAAAACAGTTTGGGCTAGTGTAGCAGTCATCACATCACGATTACATGCTTTGCATAAGTACAGTTAAAAATACAGTATAGTCATCATGCAGTCTTTTTAATGACAGAAGACAAGAAACTGGGTAAACATTAACATGGGGGTAAATCTTGGTTCAATTCATCGCCCTTCAGATTTTAATTCGATTGTTGTTTAGATTTAAAGTAGAACGGCAGAGTAACAATAAAGAGAAACTAATGAGAACTTTTGCCATGCCTCCAACAATAGTGAATAGGTTGTTTGCAAAGAGGGTTTGGGATCAGGGATCATTGTGACACCGGACATTTGTGTTCTGTCTTTGCAAGAGAGCTGAGTTCCCTCACTTTAAATTTTTTACTTTGAAGGCTATGTTCTCAAAAGTTAATATGAATCTTTGATTATTTTAATTAGTAAAAGTATTAGTATCTACTGTTGACATTCTTTTTGTCCCTCTCTTCATGCAAAATAAACATACACAGACTGCACCCTCTTGACAAATGCTCACAACTTTGTTTAAGTTCTCAGACTAAGTCGCTACTAACAAACCTGTTAATTGTTTGCCTGTCTTTGTTTTCTTTAGCTCCTTTGACTATGTGTATACAATGAAGAGGCGCGTGGAGGACCAGGAACCGATATTTGCACCCCAGCAGCAGCAAACACGTCGTCCCCCAGTTCAGGGTATTGCCGAGAGCTTCCAGCACCGGGCCCTCGCCCCGGCCCCTCCTGTGATAGAGGCAGCCGCAGACACCATGCAGCCATCCACCGGCATTCAGTATTCTCTCCCCCAGGGCTACCAGGTATGATGAGATCAGAGCAGTTGCTCTTGGTGATGGGCAACACAACAAAACCTGGCTGCTGTTTTCTGTACAGACCATTTACTTTGAGCTGATTGGATAAGAGAAAAACCAAAGAGCTGCATGTCTGATTGTCAATAAAAGTGACCAATCAAAAGAGCAGAATCTGAACTGAGTGCTAAAAGAATGATAAGTCTAGAATTATGAAGACTTTACAATGAAAGATCCAGTTTTTAAATGTCGTTCATTTGTTGTAATTGTAATAATATGTTAAAAAACAAAACAATTTATAATCCTAGACATTCTTATCTTAAGGTTTAAATTAAAAAATGTCTTTCTTTCTTAAAAGGTGCCCACAATGCCCCAGAGCACAAGTGGACATGGACACAACACTGCTCCACATGTTGGTCCCCACGCACACAGTCTGGCAGTTCAGTCACAGGGTCCTGCAGTGGTCCAAGGCCACGTTCATCCACCCGCACCCTTAACCTCTACTCAAGGACAGCAGCAGTTTCAGCGACTGAAGGTACAACTACATGGACAAATATACAAACGTTAACGTGCATCCACCAAAGTAAATTAAACAACATACATCTGTGCCAAGTTTGTGGAACTTTCACAATGAAGTCCTCACTGAAACAACAGTACATAGCAAGACCATCATAAACATCAATATGATACGTGTTTTTAAACGTTTGTCTTTCATGGTTCATAGTTACGATGCACTTGTGGTTATTATAATATTTCTAATCATTTTCTCTCTTTGTAGGTTGAAGATGCCTTGTCCTATCTGGATCAAGTGAAGCTGCAATTTGGGAATCATCCACAAGTTTATAATGATTTTCTTGACATCATGAAAGAGTTTAAGTCACAGAGGTGAGCTATAACAGATAACAGTATTTCTTGATGTCAAGTTTTAATATGTAGCATGCAGAACAGAATCTGTGCACCCAGTTGATGAGGAGTCTGATAAATACAATCATTTGTTCTGTTCTTACAGCATTGACACTCCTGGAGTCATCAACCGCGTGTCCCAGCTCTTCAAGGGTCACCCAGACCTCATTATGGGTTTTAACACTTTTCTGCCCCCTGGATACAAGATTGAGGTTCAAACCAACGATCTAGTGAACGTGACCACGCCGGGTCAGATCCACTACATCACCCCACATGGTATTTCTGTTCAGAACATCCCTATAAGTGGAGCATCCAGCCAGCCTGCAAGCCATCACCAGCACCAGAGTCTGCCACAGGCTGCCCCACAAACTACCATCCCCCCCACCACTACCACCACCACCACCACCAACCCCCCACCCGTCCCAGCCCAACCTGCTCCAAATAAAACCAGCAAGGTAGAAGATATTCTGCATTCACCACTGAACTGAATATAATAAGCTAAAAACATTATATCAGTGTTTTGCAGTTCCACTTTTCTCGATTAAAAAGGTGCTATAACATTGTGTGCTCTGTTTGTGCCCAACAGCCAATTCAGTCTCCAGCCCACACACCCACGAGCCAGCCCAATCCATCCATCCCATCCTTTGCCTCACCGCGCTCACCAACTGTTCAGTCCCACACTCCTGTGAGCAGCACGCCGTCTGGGGGGCCACCGCTCCAGAACAACCAGCCTGTGGAGTTTAACCATGCTATAAACTATGTCAACAAGATCAAGAACCGCTTCCAGGGTCAGCCAGACATCTACAAATCCTTCCTGGAAATCCTCCACACATACCAGGTAAGGAAATATACTCAAATTAAAGATTATTCCCAAATTGTAATGAATACATATCTGTTGATACCCAGCTTAAATATAATTTAATGTATTTTGTCTGTCAGAGAAAGAGAAAGAGGAAACACCTACAGGATTCTCACCACTTTTTTTTATTATCAATTATCCAGAAGGAGCAAAGAAATGCTAAAGAGGCAGGAGGTAACTACACTCCCACACTGACTGAGCAGGAGGTCTACACTCAGGTGGCAAAGCTCTTCAAGAACCAGGAGGACCTGCTCTCGGAGTTTGGACAGTTCCTGCCTGACGCAAACAGCTCAATGGTGAGTCTCTGTGAATACACTTCCACGTTTTAACTGGTACAACATCTAGCTAATGTGCTTTGTGTCGATGTTTACAAGTGGTAATGTAAATGTAGGAAACTATTCACAACACAATTTAAAATAATTGAACCTAGTCACAGTTTCCCGCATTCAACAATTACAGCCTCTGCCGTTTATCATGCCAGGACACATTCTTTTACATTTACATTTATTATTATAACTTTATCGAACGCTGACCACGATTACGCACATTGTTTTTTCGAACATGCCTGTACATTTTTGTGACCTTACTTTGGAGAGATCGTGATAATACAATACAATGATGGGTTTCTTTAGCTGCTGGGCAAGACTGCACCCGACAGGGCCGAGTCTGTGCGTAATGATCATGGTGGGACAGTGAAGAGACCCTTATTGAACAACAAACAAAGGCTGAGCCAGAACGGCCTCCCGATCAGAAGACCAGCAGGAGTGGGAGCCACACCGCCGGTCAAGGTACACACCACTCTACCTGTCAGCTGGTTTCATTTATATTCAGCTGTTTGTACAATTTTTTTATTCCTGCAGTAGAGATAGTAAATATGTTCTATTTATAGTAACATGGGTGGAGGAAGTTTTAAATACACCTCACAAACACTGAACAGCAACATCACACTACATCCTCCCAAGTGACCGAGTTCAACAAGTGCCATTCAAAACTGAGACGATTAAAAAAATTGGGGCCAGCCTGCGACGGGCATTATATTATGTCTTTTTATTACTCTTGCAGAAGAAACCCAAAATAATGGGGAAGGACCACAGCATGAGTGAAGTCAGCAAACACAGCACCAGCACTGAAACCATGTTCTTCGAGAAGGTCAGTATCTTTCTATTCAGCACCCGTGTTATTTATTTAAAGTCCTTTCAAAAACAAGGTGAAGGTTACCATTACCAAAGTTTAATGATACGATGAAATCATCTTAGCAGACAGTTTTTGCTCATACAGGTTTTCTGTGTCATCCTTGTATCAACAGGTGAAGAAGGCTCTTCGGAGCACAGAGGGGTATGACAACTTCCTCCGATGTCTGCATATTTTCAATCAGGAAGTAATTTCTCGTGCTGAGCTGGTCCAGTTAGTCATCCCATTTCTTGGGTGAGTTTAAAACATGCACACCATCTGTCAGTGCCCTGGTTACACGTGATATATATGATATATATATATACACACACAGTATATAGATAGATATAATTTCTGCACTGCTCTGTTTTCTACCTATTAACTTATACAGGTATTCAATCTCACAGCTATTTAAATATTATGACATTTTTCAGATTTATGAATGATGTTTGTTATAAAACACAGTATTGATATCTGCTTCTAATGTCAGTGCTGCACATCTTTCATTACCAAACCTGTAACCATATTGAATTGTTGATTTTACACATATTCCACAATTTTCAGAAAATTCCCAGAGCTTTTTACTTGGTTTAAAAACTTCCTGGGCTACCGAGAGTTCAGTCACGGGGAGTCGAGCCATGCAGAGAGTTTACCCAAGGAGCGTGCAACAGAGGGCATCGCCATGGAGATTGACTACGCTTCCTGCAAGAGGCTGGGGTCCAGCTATAGAGCACTGCCCAAGAGCTACCAGCAGCCAAAGTGCACAGGACGGACGCCACTGTGCAGAGAGGTGAGTGGCTGAGGAAAGTCCGCTGTGTCACGTTTCTCTCTCTCAATGAGCCACCAGCAAGCAATCCCACTACCCACATCCACAGTTGAATGTTAGGAGCTGGTCTCTTCACCTCTGCCACGATGTCCGTACTTGATATCTGCTTCTGCCATCAATCCCACAGTACAACTATTGCTTTGTTGAAACATAAATGGAATTTCAGCAAATGTCTTATTGCAGGTTCTGAATGACACGTGGGTGTCGTTTCCATCGTGGTCTGAGGATTCTACATTTGTGAGCTCCAAGAAGACTCAATATGAGGAGCACATTTACAGATGTGAGGATGAGCGCTTTGAGGTGAGGAACACTCGGTCACACTCCAAAGCATGAAAACATGAGTTATTGTATAGTTGGAAGAATAAGTGCATAACTTCTTCTGCACGTCAACAGACTAAAGAAAAGCCTGTGTTAAGTTGTCCAAGAAAAACCGTCATGCTGTGACCATCAGCCATAATCAGACACTTTGTCTAATTTGTCAATGATTTCACTTCACGTAGCTGGATGTTGTGTTGGAGACCAACCTTTCCACAATACGAGCCCTGGAGTCGGTGCAGCGGAAGCTTTCGCGCATGTCGGCCGAGGAGCAGCTGCGCTTCAAGCTGGACAACACAATGGGTGGCTCCTCAGAGGTCATTCACCGCAAAGCCATCCAGAGGATATATGGGGACAAGGCCAATGACATCATTGACGGGCTTAAGAAGAACCCAGCTGTGTCTGTCCCCATAGTGCTGAAAAGGTTAATGGTCTAATTTTATTTTCCTTTCTGCCTTGTTCATGTTTTATAAGATATGGTTTAAGACCATATAAGGTTGTGAAATCCTTTTTTTGGTCACACTTACAGGTTAAAGATTAAGGAGGAGGAGTGGAGAGAAGCCCAGAGAGGATTCAACAAAATCTGGCAGGAGCAGAATGAAAAGTATTACCTGAAGTCACTCGACCATCAAGGCATCAACTTCAAGCAGAATGACACCAAAGTGCTGCGTTCAAAGACCTTGCTCAATGAAATCGAGTTGCTATATGATGACGTGAGTAAAGCTGTAAATAAAGGTTTTAGCTCACACAGGATGTTTGTTGTCGGATAAGTACCATTAAAAAAAATTCTGTTTGTGTCTCGTAGCGTCAGGAGCGAGCATCCGAGGAAACCACCACGCCGGCACCGAGCGGGCCGCACATGACCCTGACCTACGACGACAGCCAGATCCTGGAAGACGCGGCTGCCCTCATCATCCACCATGTCAAAAGACAAGTGGGCATCCAGAAAGAAGACAAGTACAAGATCAAACAGATCATCCACCACTTCATCCCCGACCTGCTGTTTGCTCAGCGAGGTGAGCTCTCGGACGCAGAGGAGGAGGACGAGGAGGAGGAAGAAGACTTAGAGATGGATCAAGACAGCCCCAAGAAGCACAACGGCCTGCCAGGCAGCAGCCCATCAAAGTCGAAGCTCCTCTTCAGCAACATGGCCGCTCAGAAGCTGCGCGGCACAGATGACGCCTATAACCTGTTCTTTGTGAACAACTACTGGTATATCTTCCTTCGTCTACACCACATCCTCTGTTCTCGTTTGCTGCGAATCTACGGGCAGGCCGAGAAGCAGATTGAAGAGGATTCCCGCGAGCGAGAGTGGGAGAGAGAAGTGTTGGGGATCAAAAGGGAGAAAAGTGAAAATCCAGCAATCCAACTGAAAATGAAGGAGCCAAGTAAGTGAGAAAATAAAACAACCCGTGGTTTCATGTTTATCTTGATGCTTCTCTATAGATTGTACCTACATGCTCACAAATATTAATGTTGTAGTTTGTAATGTTTCACTGAAATTTCTTCCTGCAGTGGACATTGATGTAGACGACTACTACTCAGTGTTTCTGGAAATGGTGCGCAACCTTTTGGATGGAAACATGGAGCCGGCTCAGTATGAGGACTCCCTGAGGGAAATGTTTACTATCCATGCCTACGTTGCCTTCACCATGGATAAACTCATCCAAAGCATTGTCCGGCAGGTCAGCACAGTCACGATTATATCTTTAGATTTAACGTGTGTTATCTACGCCGTCTGTTCTGTGTGTAGTTTGTTTCAGATTCAAACTTTACGGACTAAGCTTAATTTGTGCAAAAGGCCTGAAGTTGATTTTAATTTCATTGTCTTATTACAAAGTGAACGGCGAACACGAGGGCCTGGACTTAAAGGATCTTCAGAGCGACAGCTAAACTTTAAGGAAACATGTTTGTGAAAAATATGGACCCTGTTAATCGTAATTTTTAATAGATTGAGAAAATCAGCGGTGACGTACAACTTCTCTGAAAACTATGAGTCAATGAATCTGTCACTTTAAACCCACCGAGTGTGTCACTGTCACTTTTAGCCTCTGTGATAATGAGGTGCCATCGTTTTTGCCCGTGCGGACTTTGAGTCGTTTCTTACTAAAACCATTGTGTTTCACAGCTCCAGCACCTCGTCACTGATGACGTGTGCGCACGTGTAACTGACATGTACCTGAGTGAATGTGCCAATAAAGCGACAGGCGGCACACTGTCCACGCAGACGTCCAGGTCCACAGCAGAGGGCGTCTACCAGCGCAAGGCAGAGCAGCTTATGTCAGATGAGAACAGCTTCAAGGTACGATGCAGCCAGAGATGAATGAGTGTTTTAGTTTAAACCCTTTAGAAGAGTTAGGATTGCTCATGAATGAATTGCTTGTGTTCTTCCCAGCTGATGTTTGTAAAGAGTCGAGGATCTGTCAGCATGGCCATGGAGCTGCTGGACACAGAAGAGGAGAACTCCGATGAGCCAGCGGAGGCAGAGGTAAGACTCGGTTTATGCGTGGATTAGTAAATGTTGGTATTGTCTTCAGAGTTCTTATTCATTTCCTCAGGTGTCTGCACGACCTATAGTTCATAGTCACTGCTTTCTTCTTTTTAATTTCGTTCGTTTTGATCAGGTTTACTGCTCTATTCAGAATCTCTGTGTCTGAGTCTGTGTAGGAGAGTTTCACTCAGTCCCACAGAACAAATCCAACACGATTTATAAAATACAACTAGACTTCCTCTTCATTGTCTTTCTTTTTTCTTGTGAATGGAAGAATATGATTTTACCTCTTGATCCCACCTCCTCAAAGTAGCGATGGTGCTGTTTCTGGTGAGTCATGTATTTCACGGAGGGAAGCCGACTCTCTTATAATATAATTATCACTGACAGGTTTTTTAAAACAGGGACGGATTCATTCACCTGTTGGATGTGAGGCCGCTAATAATCCAGATGAGGGAACAGGTGTATGATCACGAATGGTAACGGTGTGTGACAGCAGATAGCCTCTCTCTGAAAATTGCCTGTAGATGCTAACAGACATCGTAAAAAAACAAAGTGATCCGTCGCTGATGGTGGGGGGGCAGCCCACCTTTGATTAGAGGATGGTAACTTTTTCAAATATATAAATTTCATGATGTAGAGACGTCCCGAACAGTCGACTCTACGTGAGCATCGGTCCTGCAGAGTCCAAGAGGGTTTTAAACGATATGTTCAACTCATAAATGTAGATTTTTGCTTTTACCAGCTTTAATGTGTTTCCATTAAGAACAAGTCATTTACTTAACGGCGAATGTGACTGATGAGCTGTTTCTTTTGCTCTCCTCTCTCCTGCACAGAGGTGGTCAGACTACGTGAGTAGATACCTGAACTCAGACTCTGCATCCCCAGAGCTGCGTGAACATCTGGCCCAGAAGCCGGTGTTCCTCCCCAGGTGAGGCTCCAGCCATGTCCCCCCCTCTTGTCTTCACTGTTAAAGCTTCTGTCCTGAGGCACTAGTCAGCCGAGCAGCTACTCCACTGTTGCCAAGCCTCCTGCCAAATACGACTCATTTTCTCAGATAGAAAACAGTGGTACCTCTGCACAAGCCTGACTTAGGAAGCTTTAATCACAAAAGCTGTGGGCATAGAAGCCTTTTTTAGTAACAAACGAGAAAGTTTTGAGAAGGTTAATCAACAGGAGAAACACTGCAGTTACACTGAAGTGCTTGCAGTGCCTGACTGCCCCTCTGTCATGGAGTCTCATTGGCCATTAATGTGATTTTTCAGTTTCTGACATCTGCCTCACATGGAAGATTGCACTTTACATGGCCGTCTTTTAAAAAAGAAAAACATGGAATTTATTTATTCATTGATTCAGTTCCTTTTTAATGGAAATTTTTATTTATTACCAGCAAGGTTTTTTTAAAATGGCTTTGGCTTGATCGTGGGGTTCAAGTGTCCACCTACCCGGAGAGCAACAAGAAAAATTTGGTTTGATTATTCACACTGTATTGAATTTGAAATGGTGATTTTCATTGTGTAACATAAAGGACAAAAGTCATCGAATGCACAAGCTAAGAGCAAAACAAATGGGTCCCACCTTTTGTCATTTTAATTTCATTTTTCTACAATAACCTGTGACCTGAGTTTGAGAGACCGAAGCTCTTGTGTCGGACCTGAGAGACTTTGTTAAGACAGTGAAGTCGGGGTTTCCTTTCCTACCTTATCATGCCCTTTTGTTTGTGATTGTATTCAGATCCAAGGTCCTGTATGTGACTTAATCACTGTTTGCAACTGTAAATGTTGAAATGTCAATTTATTTAAGTCTGTTATACTCAGTGTTATGTTTGTAATCATTTTCAGTGGAAACCGTGCACTCCCGTTGCAACTTTTTGTTGTGAGTGAGATTTTTTTCCACTGGTGTGACAGAGATTAGTGCTCATGTTTTTTAAAACTCTGGTCAAGCACATTATCTGCAACACTTGTACAGAGGAGTAGGGTTTGTAAATAAAATGATCGTCTAAATTGTATGTTCACATGTTGGTGTATTTCTTTCCCGACACCGTAGAGCTGTGCATGGAAGCGTGCGTGTGTCCGCTCTGTCGTAAAGCTCCAGATGAGTGTTGCACATCAGAACCTGTCATTGTTTTTGGTGCTCTGTGAGTTTTTAGTTTCTTTTGAGATGGCTGTCCATTATCATACACATTTCAATAAGGCATTGTAAAACACCAAATATCTTGCTCCTAGTTTTTCTCATATTAATTAATTTACCCATTGCATAAATCTGGTACCTGACTGGGATTTATCTGTGGGCTCACCCACATCTTTATTTTTTGATTTTGTTCATTTGTTCATTGATTTTATTCTCATCAAATCTATGAGAGATCAGCAGCACAAGAGGTCAAAACCGTCTTCACAAAAATCACTGGCAGTAAAATTCCAGCAGTTTCTTTTCCAGTCGTGTTGGGTCTTCATCTCATGGTCATAACATTCGGTACATTGTTGGTGAAAGAATGTGCAAATCAAAAATATATTCAGCTCTTGCATATATATATATATATATATATATATATATATATATGTGTGTGTGTATATATATATATATATATATATATATATATATATACACTCATATTACGATTTGTACTTGTAATTGGCGCCACTCTCATGTCTTTTAAGTGGAGCCCTGAATGCTAAAATATGCTTCATGGTTTCAGTCCTCGCTCAACTGTAACCTCTGTGGTAAGTACACATTTAAAACTTTCATTCAGGTGGGGTGAATAATGATATTTTTATTACATGCACAACAATCGGGATCAATCTCCAAATTTCTTTAACGAATGATTGTTTGCCAAGCACACTTGGATTGATCACAGTATGTGGCCGTGCAACAGAAGTGCACTGTACAGAAATATTCCAACCGCTGCCTCTGCTGCTCTTATAGATCCGCATTTCCCACGAATGATTTGACTCCCTATCTAGTTCTGTTCCCCGGTGAGTTGCAATGCATGGGTTTCTAAAATATAGTTTAAAGGGACAGTCCTCTCAAATTTGACTGCGCTCTCCTCAAATTTTGTCCTGAATATTGTGCCTGACCACATCCCCTAGACTTAAAAATCGCACGATGCATTTTATCAAACTGTGCCATCAAGTGAGAAGTAGTTTCCAGATATTAATTTGTGCGAACTTTCCCTGTAAACGTGATTATTTCTTTCTTTCTTCTAAAACGCATTCATTTATTTATTTATTCATTTTGATGTGTGGCGCGATCGAAAGCATTTCTGCGGGATCAGTCGGTCTGATTCATGGCTGTCGATCTGTTTGGGCCTTCAGGAATTTGAGGCAGATCAGGAAGTGCCAGAGAGGATGGGAGCAGCTGCGGCGGGAGAGAATGACCAAGGCCCCCTCGGACAAGTCGCAGGAACGTAACAGTGCGCTGAAGATGGAGTGCATGTTCAAGCTCAACTCCTACAAGATGGTCTATGTCTGCAAGTCAGAAGATTATATGTACAGGCACACAGCTCTCACACGGGCCCATCAGGTGAGCACAGGAGGAGCCTGATCTGATCCGGTGTCAGTGTCAGCAGATTGAGAGAACAGGTGGTTCTTACCTGCAGAAGGGTTAGCTTTGATATGTGGCTTTGATATGTGGCTTTGATATGTGGCTTTGATTCTGTTCTCAACCACTAACAAGATAAAAATGATTTAATAATAAATTATATTCACAAAGGTTAAAGGTTACAAGTGTTCAAGTCATGTTTCATTTCCACAACAGGATCCAGACCTGATTGATGACGACTCTCTCTCTCTCTCTCTCTCTCTCTCTCTCTCTCTCTCTCTCTCTCTCTCTCAGTCTCATAAGCGAGTGAACAGGCGGCTGCACAGACGCTTCCAGGCCTGGGTGGACACCTGGGCCGAAGAACACGTGACCAGCGACATGGCCTCCGACAGTCAGAAGTGGCTGATGGGAGATGAACAAGAGGACCTGTTGCCCTGCACCACCACCCGCTGCCCGGAGGTCCTCCATTATCTCAACGTTAACAAGTACCGGGTGAAGTACAGAACACTGTAGTCTCTCAGCTGAGGAACAACACATGCGATGAAGTCTAACGCGTCGGCTTCACGCGGATTTCTCCAACCTGCGGTTCCTCAGTTGCCAACAGATTTGGGTCGATCCACCGTTTGAAGGGGATTTAAATTTTCCACAAAATGTGTCAGAGAACGTCGCCTCAACTTTCGAGCTTTCACCACAAAGTCTGTAATTTAATGCGAAAACAGAATTTTTGCAGGTTTTGCCGTCACCACATATAAAATAAAGGTTTTTCTGCCTCACATCCGATGAACACACAAAGAAAACCTCTTCTCTTCGGTGTGTTCAGAGTTTCACAGAAAGTTAACAATGAAATAGGAGTTTTTTTCAGGGCCGCCTCATCATTTCACAGGATATCGAAACAAAAAACCTCAGCTCTTCTCTCCGGTAGCAACGACACGTACCTGTTACCTCGGTTAACGTGAGTACTCGGAGCTTGATCTGGCTCCCAGCTGTAAACTTGTATAGCCTGTGAATGTTCTCCTCTGTGGTGAAGGTGCAGCTGCCAGCACCGTGTTTCCACCATTGTAATTTATGACCGCCCAAATATTTTGTGTAAATATGTTGTTTATATCTAGATTGTTTTTTTAAATCAAATGTCGTTTATGCGTAGCGTACATAGAGATGTGCATAGTATGAATTTTTAGGTAGAAGGTGCAGAGAAGTTTATTCAGAAAATCATTTTATCTGTTTTTTTACCAAAGGATGTTCGTGAGAGACCGTTTACGTTTTGTGGTCTGTCGAACTCGTCCCTGACGTCCTTCACAACTTTCCATTTTATACGTGTTTGTTTCGATGGAAGGTGATTGAATGTAGCTAAGCAGCAATTTCCCCTTTTTCAAAGTACAGTGTTTGTCCAGGTTTCAAAGTACTGAAGTCTAAACAGTACCATCAACTTCTCCTCGTATTTAAACTTTACCAAATGTTAGAATCTGAATTCCAGGTTCTCTGGTCTCATAATTTAACGCCTATATAAACCATACGTGAGCTGTGTTTATTTTTTATGTGCAGTGTTGATGACGAGCACTGACGGATGTGTAGTTTATATGAGAATGTGACTTGTGTACCACATAGAGGGAGAAAAGAGCAATAATTCCTTCAGTTACAGTTTATTAAAGCTGTCGGTTTGTATTTTCTGCCGAAACACAAACGTGAATGTCGTGTCCCTGGAACGAGGGAAGAGAATGGAGGATTTTCCTTGTTTTGATTGAACTTTCCTCTCTGCAGTTTGCAGTTTTGATAAAACTGGAATTGGCTGTGTGTGTATTGTAGTGGAGGTCAGAAAAGCAACAAGCTCCTCACGTTAACATTCACCAAACCAGTGCGATCAGTATAATATCTGTAATAACACGGATGGAAGGATTGAACGTGTGTAAAGTTCAGTGACGCTCACTGAACTTTACACACGTCACCTGAACTCCATGTACAAGCCGCTGTGGACAATCTTTGAACACTTAATTACTTGGGTTTTTATTTTTATAACTATGCCGTGTTTGTTACTGAACCATAGAAAGTCCCGGGAGCTGACTGTACATAAAGACCTTGTTTGTGTCTCCTCTCCGACCTTTACGATGTTGTACATGAGTGTTAGAACGGTGTTTTGCATTAAACGATCCTTTGAATAGACTCAGACTCAGCCGACCATGTTCTTTGTCATTGCTGCCTCTGTGTTTACACTCGGCACATCCTCAGGTCTCATCTTACCTGGTTGAACTGCCGGTGCTGCTCGTTATATGAGAGCGAGAGCGGCGCTCTAAGAGCACATACGTCTGCCGAGGCTGGTGACCTCAACATTTTCGTTGAATAATTTGTGCACATTGATATGGGGGGGGGTGCAGTCGTCATATTTGAACGTGTCTCTCCCTCCAGTCTGTGCACCCCCACCGCCGCCATGGATGGAATTCATTCAGCGAAGCGCTGGATAGGAGATGAAAAAAAAAATCTGATCTGATATTGCACCAAATTTTATTGCGTTGCTCCCTGACCCACATCACATCCTTCCTCCAGGTTTCATGGTAATTCCAAGCTTTCGCACAAGCTTAGAAACAAACCATGAAAGAAATTCTATTTACTCTGTGGCCTCTGCACAAACCCTGGGTTTGATATTATTATTTTCAAAAAGCAACAAAATAAAGGTCTGGAATCTGCTGCCTCAGGATCCAGAGCATGAAATGAGCCAACTAACAAGAACAAAACATTCTTCGGTCATTTAATTTCCAATGAAAAACTCGTTTTATAAAAAAAAAACAAAAACTAAGGAGGAATCAGCAGTGAAATCTGCCTGAAGATGAGATTAAATGAAGAATCCAAACGACGACTGTCGAACAGATTTGCTGAGATTGTTTGTGAAGTTTCACTTGAGGACTTGGACCTCCGCTAAATGCGTACGTAGATCCTTGTGCACACCACATCGTCCGCTCCGAATGTCTGAAACAAAAAAACAAAACTTCATCAGAGGAATCGTCGTCTCACTGGTTCTTTGAATGTTTTCTGTTTCTTTGAGAATCAGCTGCGAAAGTCTGTTGATTCGTCGAGACGATAGATCTGAATGTGTTTCTGTCATCAAATAATCATTTCAGTCATTTCATAAACAGAAAAGCTTAAATATGAGGATTTCAAGCTCTTGTTTTTCACACATCATCATAAACTGAATGACAGTTTTTGATTGTTGGTCGGACAAACACAAAACATCTGAACTCTGGGTAAATAGTTCATTAATTCTGATGTGTTATGGATAAGACAGTTAATTGATTGATGGAGGAAACGATGAGCAGATCAATGAACTGAAAATAATTGTGATCTTATTCCTTAATTCAATAATGAATCAAAAAAGCCTTTTTCAATTCAGGTCTTTGTGTAAAGTGTTAAATTCCCTGCCTGATTTAAAAAAAAAAAAAGGGGGGAAGAAACGCTGGAATCCCAGAGTTAGAGGTGCGTGAGACCGAGGCCAGAGATTGATTAGTGTCCCAGGGGCGCAGCGGCGTGGCCACACATCATCATTATCTCAGTGTGGCAGGCCGACGCTGTAAAAAAATGGATCTGCAGCAGCTCCATCTGGCGACGGGTGCGATGCTGAAGGAAACGTTAACTGGAGGAGCCATCAGTGTTCACACACACACACACACACACACACACACACACACACACACAGATTTGGACCCTGACACCATCACAGCCAAACTATTTCCTCTGACCTCAGTCCCATTATATAAAGTCAGATCATTCATCAATGCTCATTTGTTTTATGAGTTTCTTTACGCAGCTTTTCAATCTGAAGCATTGATCCTCTTTTTCTGTTTGTTCTTTCACTGCACACTCCTTCAGTGGTCATTACATCACAACCACCCATCTGAGATCACAGTCCACCGCACGCCGTCTTCATTAAAGCTCACCCGCCTCCCTCTCTCCCTCGGGGGAACTGATGTGTTCGATTTTTAGCTTCGTGTAAAATACACAGCAGAATGTTTGACCAGGAATAATGAACTGATTCTTTCTTTAGTTGCCAACAGGAGCGAACTGATTGATTCGTTGACAAATAGAAGACATTTGCTGTTTGACCTTGAGCTTCACTTGTATCAGTAATTAGCCACGAGGACAGAAAGACATCAGGATGGATCAGTAACGTCTGAACCATGTTTGAGGGAAAATTATAGAAGCTTTGACACTTTGCTTGCGTCGTTTTCTCTCCGAAGAAACGTTGAATAACTCGATGCACGACTCTTTCATCTGTATCAGCTCAAAGCCAAATATTTCTGCCTCAACATCGTTTTAACCTGAACATGAGTAGAACTTCAACTCAGGTGTAACGTGGGAGTTTAAATGAGCGATAAGCAGAGGAAGTATCTGAGCTCGCCCTCCTCTCCAGAATCCTGTTAAGACTCCTGCAGTATTCTTTGAAAAGTTTTCCCGTGATTCAATCCCACGTGTTGCTCGATGGGTCCAGCACACAGAGACGTGCACGCCCTTATCTTGAATAAAAACAGATTTGGTGGAAGCTTTGTTTCAAATTACAGCCGCGCTCGAATGTTTTCCTGATTGCCTCTGCAGAGGTGAGTCACAGTCAGTAAAGAGCAGCTCCTCATCAAAGCCAAACTGGACTCGGCTTTTGTTGTCCATCTGGCCAATGAACCCACGCGTGTTAAATCCCAGATGTTTACAGGGAAAACCTCCTTGTCTCAGTGATCTGCGTTTGCCAGGAACTGGAGGGAGACGTGTCTCTGATGTCTGCGAGATCATGAAACGCTGCGCGGAATGTGGAGTCTTAACAACAAACGTCTGTGAGCGTAAATTAATTCATTTAGTCCAGATCGTTTCCCCTGCGGAGCCCCTCGAACTGTGTCGCTGCAAAACCAAACCATCGGCTGGATTTTCTTTTTTCTCTGAAAGCAGCAAAATCAACATCAGCCGACGAAGAACGACAGAATGACCTTCTTTAAATGTTTATCCACACCCTCAGCTGGAAGAAAGAAATGTGGACATGGGAGTTGACAGCGTTTCTTAAGAACCACAGAGCGTTTGGGGGAAAATATTGACCAGATCATTCAGCAATTTCCCATCTGGTGCCACCACCCAGTTATGGCCTCTGTTGACCATCGGTCTGGTTTGAGTTTCTGCATCTGCCTGGTTTTTATCACTGTCATCACTGGAAAAGGATTTTTGCTTTTGAGTCGAGAGTCAGACGAAAAAAATGTAGATTATTGAGTTTGTTCAGTAAATTTGAAACTTCAGGTTGAGTTTCTTGTTTTTTTGAGACTCACAGAGTCAAAACTAGAACTCGGATAAACAGTTATAACTAAAGGAAGCACGAGTGGATTTAAATGTGGTTTCATGAGGGAATCATTCGGCCTTTATACTTTTTATTTATATTAATATCCTGATTGTTTTCATTAGTGACAGGGACCGATGTGGATTTTGTTCCACTCTAACGCTGTTTTTCCTGTTTCCAATCTTTATGTGATATTAAGCTGTAGTTTCATATCGGCCGTACAGATGTGAGACCAGTGTTCTCCTCTTATCGTGGCCAAGAATGTGAATAAGCACATTTCCCTTAAATGTCAGAGGATTCCTGTGTCGGCTGCACTGCGCTGGCGGAACAACAGAGTCTTTGACTCACGTTGAGGATTGATCCTTTATCCCTGAATTGTTTTCTTATTGGCAAAAAGAAACAGAAACTGGCCCAAGTGGCTAAAGATGGCGATTTTCAAATGTGACACCTCATCCCACTTTGTAACGCGTCCAGACATCTGTTCACCGCTCTGCGGAGGGAGTGCAGCTGGAAATGAGACGGCCTGCGTGGACGTCTTTGTTCAGAGCGATGGGATGAGAGCGTCCCGGAGCCACAGTGTCATTAAAGTCAATATAGAGACAAGTTTTCAAACTTTTTCCACGAGAAACAAAAGGACAATCTGCTCTGAAGAGACTTTAAAATGAGATTATCTCTCGGTTCCTGTTTTGTGCAGGTGATTGGTTTGAGTCTGCATGTGTGTGTTCTCTGTGTGTGGCCCTCTCTGATGTGATATTTAAAACTCACCAGTATGAGTTCCTCCCCTCTCAGTTCTCGGCTCCAGAAGGTCTTTGGACCGCTCCCGCTCAGGAGAGTCTGTTTGCAGTAAATCTTGTTTTCTGTTTCCCAAGTGGCCAAACTCTGCAGAGAAGCAGCACTTTAATGAGTTTCCTGTTTTTATCAGCCTGAGGTTCACCTGGTGAAACACGTCAGCGGTGAGACACCACGGCTGCTCCACAGTTCTCACATCGTTGAGCGTAGTTTAATCTATTTCTAGGTAAAGTCACTGGGCTTCCGGAGTTTCTGCACTGATGAAAAATCAGATTGCATGTAATGACTTTGAGATTTTTAATTAAATTTGAATGTGATCCTGACGTGGCAAATGTAGTCAAAGGTGAACATGGCTCAAATAGTTAAAAACTGATATTTGAGATACAGTATTGATACGGTTTACTTGTGGGACAGATCCGGCAAACAGGAGTTTACCAAAACCATTTTGCGATGTGAGTGAATGTGAATCTGTTTCCAGGTTGGCAGGGAGTTAATTCAATTTCCTGAGGAGGGTTTGGACTGTAACACCAGAACCTTCCACGTTCACAGTCCTCTCAGTAGAATTTAATGAAGTTTACTTACTCCACTACATTTTTAAGTACATTTTAAGTAGTAAATTGAATGCGGTTCTTTTACTTGAGTGTATTTTTGTAGTTTTACTGAAGTACTCCCACCAGTTAATTACCTTACACTTTCTGCCGTCCACCGTCTCCTCGTCAAACTCCTCACCGATGAGGAAGTTGATCTCCGTGGTGCGGACCGTGGTGGAGGTCTTGATGTAGAAGTGCTCGTCGTTCTGTCTTATCTCCACGTGGGGTTTGGATGCAGCCACCCCTGCGACCTGCCTCAGCAACAAATTCACACCTGACAACAAGCACAGAGCTGCTGTGAGTCCACAGATATCAGGTCAGGCTGCTGAGGAAAGTAGTAAATATATAAACTGACAAAACACAGATTAGAAGTTTTAAATTTCCTTCCACTGCGAATAATCAATAGACCTAGTTTCTCATTTCACGGCCCACCAGCAGAGCCAGGACCAGGGTTTGGATTTCTGGATGGGTTTTCACCAAACTCTGTGGAAACTTTACTGCGGATCGACGTTCAGACGATTCAGTTTTTGAGCTGATCGTCCAAAGTCAGTGTCAACGACAAGAAAAACTTGACAACAAGATGTTTCTGCCAATAACAGAGACAGAGAAACAATCTCACGTGATGTCATAGTTCAGAGAAAGGTCATCAACTGTCTTCTTCGTACTGTCGACACCATCTGAAGCTTTTATGCATCACATGTGGCATAAATTCATGAGGTCGATTAAAAATGTGCGTTCACAGATGAAACCTGACGAGTCGCTGTAAAAACACATTACCTCAGTTATCACAAGGTATCAAGACAAAGCTGAGGATCAGGGATCGTGCAGCTGCGAGGGCTATCAGCAGATGTTGCACGTGGAAGGTGCAGTGACGAGGTGATGAGAGGGAGGAGAGCTGGTGCTGTTCACTCTGATAGATCACGTCAGGTTCGGTCGTCCCAACGGGTGGAGAAGAGATTAAACGCTGTGTCGCACAGTTACAGTGCGAACAATTAGATGAGAGAACACTCGGGTCTGTTTCTCATCTCCGGCTCAAACTGAGCATCAGTGACGTACGACAGCACCAGGTGGTCGTCTCCTCCTCCGATTAAAACCAGTTGTCTTCACACATGTCAAACAAATCTATGGAAGCCCGGAGAGGAAAATTACAAGAAATGATTCCAGGAACATTTCATTCATTTGGATTTTGATTTATAATTTAGATTATAGATATTTTAACACTTTAACGCGTTTTTATCCTGATCGACTGTAGGTCGTAAAATAACAGAACGGGATTTGAACCCAGTCACTGCCTGTTTAATATGAGGACCTCGTTACATAAAGACACGAGATGAAAACATTGATGCTTTTTGTCCTATTTCTTTTTTTTTTTTGCACGTCAGCCTCTTGTGGCTAAAATGAGAATTACAGCAACAAACAATTACAATTACAACAAATTAACAAAATTCACCACAGTCTTTCTATCGTCTCTTATTTGTATCTTGTCTTTTGACATTTGACAATTTAAAGAACTATTCACTTATCACAGTCCCCAGAACTCCAACATGCAGGTGAAGTTGTCCACGGTGCAGATGATAGACCTTTAACAAGCTCATCAATGCGACGCTGACTCTCTAATTTCACTCAGACACGTTCCGACCTTCATCACAGACAGAGTAGGTTCTTCTCACCCAGGGCTTTGAGCAACTCGTCGAAATTCTCGCTGCTCTTCATTCTCCAGGTGCCTGAAAAATTAGGCATTTTTTCTCGCAGGGTTTGGTTTGTGCGTCAGTCTTTGCCTTCCGTCGTCTGCTGTCTCGTCCGCTCCCTTTATTCAGCCTCTTTCTCTGCCTCTGTCCGTCCCTGTGCTCCCTCCTCCTCCTCCTCCTCCTCCCTGTGTGTGACCAAACCTCCTCCACCCCGGCTCCCTCCACCACACACACACTCTGAGTCATTACATGTTTCTTTTAACGACGGAGCCAAATTATGTTTTTAGAAAAGTCTGGATGTCTCATCTGTAGCTGAGGGTTTGTGGAACTCGATGTTTCATTTATCACAGATTTCTCATTCACACCTAGAACAGATTCTCTACTATAGCAGGTTTGGGACTTGCAGTTTGTATTTGCTCACTTCACATCCTCTCATGTAGTGAGAACATTCTCTGAGATTTCTGCCTCCGACCTAATCGAGGCGAATGAGACTTTGTGCGTGGTGCCGAGTAACAGAATTCAAAACAGCTTCTTTTTCCGAAGACCACGACCGAGACATTTCTGTGGTCGTGAAAATCCTCGTTGATGGCGACACCCTGCTGCAGAGCGTCTGAGTAATTATCCACTGGTTTGAGAAGAACGTGTGATTAAGATGATGGACGGACGGTTGTAGTTGGTAGAGATCCTAATTCAGTGACAGGACAAATAAAATCTAGATAAAGGAACGAAAACTCTGATTCAATCCGGCTCTCGTGTCGTCCTCTTAGTACTTTGACCATCTCACCTTTTTATTCCACACACACACACACACACACAC